TAAATTCTTAAAAATTTATATGTTATTTAATTTTTTAAGTAACCTGTATTGAATAAGATCTTTCCAACTTATAATTCTTTTATTGTCCTAACCATTCACCCATAAGTTCCTAAGTTATTGCAATATTTATCATGATTTTGCTGCTTTTGGTAGGATGTGGTTGAAGATAATTCAGCCAATGAACACATGGAAAAAGATGGAGAGGACTGTGATCATTCATTTATCTTGAAGGATGATCTTGGCTATGTTTGTCGTGTTTGTGGAGTGATTGACCGAGGAATTGAGAGCATAATTGAGGTCCAGTTCAATAAGGTAAGAGTATTGTTGTTTATTCATTATGTTCAATGCACCTCCACCTCTCTTATTTATTTATTTATTATTATTTTTTTTTAATTTTTTGTTAGCAATTATCTATGCAAATATGTATATGGTGATTCTTCCTATAAATGTTGATGTTGAGTCTGGGAAACACTTGATTTTTGTTTGGGTAAGTGCCTTTAGAGGGTTGAGAACATTTTTCATAAGCTATTGCACTTGATTTTGATAATGACACCGAGTTGAGTCAATGCTTTCAAGTGCCTTTTGGCTTAATACATTTGTTAATGCCTAGAAGTGACGGATTGGGTTGGAATTTATCTCACCTATTCTTCTTCTCTATTTTATAGGACTACTTGGGAGACATGACATTTTTACATCCCTTTATTCTCTGCTACCCCAATTATTTACATTTTGTTCTCTGAGCTTTAGCTTGATTTTATTGTAGTCTTTGGGTGCTTGTTAATTTGGAAACTTCTATATTAATATATTAAGAAAAAGCCCGAGTTTTTCTTAACCAAGGTAGTTGACTGAATTGTTTTCAATTGAGTTGGTGACTGAGTAAATTTTCTTCTTCTTATATCAAAATGACCGTATTAGCTCTGCCTACAATTTTAATAATATTGGAACTTATAGGGGTAAGAGGGTAATAAATCTGATGTTTTTTCATATGTTGGCCACAATATTGCTTGTGCATTTTTTGTTGGGATATTGTGGCTCGCTTTCCTATTTGTTTCCATGTGAAATTGTATGTCTTTAGGAAATCTATTTGGTAAAGAATACAATTGGAAATAGGAATATAATTTAGGAGTCCTAATAGGAATTGAAATATGAATCTTATTAGAAAAAGAGTATCTCATATACTACCTATCAATATAGGGGTGAGAATCAATTTAAGGTTATGAGAGAATGAGAGAATGTGAGAACATAGGGTATTTGATGTAAGGGTTATTAAACACCATGGGAAGAGTGTCTTAGAAATTGGGATTGTTTCCGCTCTAGGTACTGGGTTGAGCGTGGTTAGAAACTGAGATTGTTTCCTCGCTGTTTTATGTACCAGGTTTATGGTGTTATGTACTATTGTATATCGTGTTCATGAAACTATAGTAGATTTCTCTCATCCATGGATTTAGGCAGGTTATGTCGAACCACGTAAATATGGTGTCTTCTTGTGTGGTCTGATTCTATTCCTTTGTTATTTATCTCGAATGTATGTTTTCTGCTGCGCGATCTCCTAACATTTTTAAATCCCTACACATTGAATGGCCATATGGGCTTATAAAATATATACCAGAGAGTGTGTGAAATGCAAAACTAACTGTTACGATTTTGGGTTACAATAGCTTTAATTTAGAAGTTAGTTTTGTTAAGCATACAACCTGACTAGCATAGAATGACTAAGTTCTTAAGTTCTATTTGATGTTGCATTTGCATCTCATTGGAATTAATTTATGCAAATGATTAGGCTTGATGGCTTGTTTAGTAGTTGTCCTTGCTTGCTGCCTTAGATTTTGATTTTTCTTTTTGTTAAATTTAGGTGAAAAGGAGCACGAGAACGTACATGTATGATCCTTGGAATGGCAAAGGCAGAGATGCAAGCAACATAGATGGAGTTAAGTTGTCTGAAAATGACTTGATGGTGACTGACATTTATGCTCATCCAAGACATATGAAACAAATGAAACCTCATCAAGTAGAAGGATTTAATTTTCTTCGAAGCAATCTGGTGACTGATAATCCTGGTGGCTGCATTTTGGCTCATGCTCCTGGATCTGGAAAGACGTTTATGATAATCAGCTTCATGCAGAGCTTCTTAGCTAAGTATCCACAGGCTAGACCACTGGTGGTGCTTCCTAAAGGTATTTTGACAACATGGAAGAAAGAGTTTCAGACATGGCAAATAGAAGATGTTCCACTCTTAGATTTTTATACTGTGAAAGCTGACAGTCGGGCTCAGCAATTGGAGGTGTTGAAAAAGTGGGTGGAGCAGAAGAGTATTCTTTTCTTAGGGTACAAACAGTTCTCTGCTATTGTTTGCGACTCTGAAAACAGTAAGACAGCAGCCACTTGTCAAGAGATACTGCTCAAGCAACCTTCAATTCTGATTTTGGATGAAGGGCACACTCCGAGGAATGAGAATACCGACGTATTGCAATCCCTTGCTAAAGTACAGACACCTCGAAAAGTTGTTCTTTCTGGAACCCTGTACCAGAATCACGTGAAAGAAGTGTTCAATATTTTGAATCTGGTGCGTCCAAAATTTCTGAAACTGGATACCTCAAGGTTTGTGGTAAAGCGCATAATGAGTAGAGTACATATTCCAGGTTTGAGGAAGCAGTTCAAAGCTGGTGCACATGCTGCTTTCTATGAGTTGGTGGAGCATTGTCTTCTGAAGGATGATGATTTCAAAAGGAAAGTCACTGTCATACAAGATCTTCGTGAAATGACCAGCAAGGTCCTACATTATTATAAGGGAGATTTCTTGGATGAGCTACCTGGACTTGTTGATTTCACTGTGGTACTGAATTTGAGTTCCAAACAGAAGATTGAAGTTTCAAAGTTAAAGATGTTGGGTGGGAAGGGTGGCAAGTTCAAGCTTTCTGCTGTTGGGAGTTCTGTACTTCTGCATCCAAAATTAAAGTCCCTTCCTGAGAATAGTGTCCCGGCAGATGATAAGATGGATGAGGTTTTAGAAAAACTAGATGTGAAAGATGGAGTCAAAGCTAAATTTTTTCTTAGCCTGTTAAACTTGTGTGATTCTGCTGGTGAGAGGTTACTTGTCTTTGGTCAGTACCTTCAACCCTTGAAATTTTTAGAGAGATTAGTAGTGAAAATTAAGGGATGGAGTCTAGGGCGAGAAGTCTTTGTGATCTCAGGTGAATCAACTGCTGAGCAGCGAGAGTGGTCTATGGAGCGGTTCAACAATTCTCCTCATTCCAAAGTTTTCTTTGGATCAATTAAGGCTTGTGGAGAGGGAATCTCACTGGTTGGTGCATCCCGCATTATTATTCTCGATGTTCATCTTAATCCATCAGTGACTCGCCAAGCAATAGGCCGTGCATTTCGACCAGGCCAAACAAAGAAAGTGTATGCATATAGATTAGTCTGTGCTGATACCCATGAAGAGAAAGATCATACCACTTGCTTCAAGAAGGAACTGATCTCAAGAATGTGGTTTGAGTGGAATGAATATTGCGGTTACAGAAATTTTGAAATGGAGACAGTTGATGTGTCTGACTGTGGTGATCTCTTCCTGGAGACTCCACTATTAAGGGAAGATGTTAGAGATCTGTACAGAAGGTCAGTACTCAATTTATCCTTAACCCCAGTCAGAGTTCCCTAGTATGATTATCTATCTTCCGCCTTATAACACTCCTTTTTGGTATATTTTTTCAGGTAGATTCCAGCATTTGGAACTGAAGCAGTGAGTAGAATGCCATTTAGAAAATATGTATTCCGTCTACGTTACGAAAGCATTAACTTTTGTGTACAGGACTAGAGAAACAGGAAATGTAAATTTGTTCAGCTCAGAATTATCATTTGGATTTCCTTTCCTTTTCTTTTCACTTTTCTTTCTTCAACCTCCTCTGTGAAGAATGAACATTGCTATCTGAGTATAGAATTGTGGTACTTTCTAATTGAACGCTGGCAGTGTATTTATGGGCCAGGATTATCTATCCTCCATGATGGAGTACACTAGCACCATCAGACAAACGAACAGCACCTCTACGGACCTGTCCCTGCAGTGTAAGGGATCAGACAGTTTTGCTCCTCACAGCGCTCATACCACAGGATTATCTTTGGGACAATATTATCTTGGCAAACGAATCTCACAAACTTTCTAGACTTAATGTAACACTGAATTAGTATTATCACGTCAATTTACAATTTTGACTAAACATAAACAACCATATCTGTTCATTGTATAAGGAATGACCATTCCATAGGACGGAATGATTGTTCCTTGGAGATGGAATGGTGTTCCTAATCCAAGGAACAACTATTTCTCCATTAATAACTGTCATTTTTTCATGAAGGAATGACCTTTTTTAAGTTTTACTTTTTTTAGTTTTAGTCTAAAAGAGTGTTTATCTAAGTTTATAAGCTGGTCAAACTAGCTTATAAGTTCTAAAATTAAGTTGATCTGTTTGTTTATAACTTTTCTGAGCTTAGAAGCAAAAAAAAAAAAAAAATGTTTATAAGCTAGTTTGACCAAGTATATTATTATATTATTCTTATTTAATTTTAAAATTTCATAGTATACCCTTATTAAAATTTCATAATATACCCTTATTTAATATAGTATTATTTTTAGTCATTTTATAATAAAATGTACTTATAAATCATATTTTACTAAATACGTCAACTATTTATTAATTACTTATAAATACTTTAACCAAACATATAATTACTTAAAATTTCAAATACTCACGCGTTACTTATAAATTAATTTTCATCGCATTCTGCTACCGTTGCATTAAAAAAACATGTGAATAATATTACTGGGAAAAAGAAAAAAAAAAAAAAAATTGTCTTAATGGCAAGGGCTGGACTAATGGAAAGTAATAATTATTTGTGTCCCTAAAGAACATCTTTTTTGTCCTTTTTCTCTCTCTCTGTCAGACTCAGTAGGCAGTACCATTCCATTTCCCACCGAGTCCAGAGTCTCTGCAGCTTCCTCTTCCGAAACAAGCAGACCCCGCTTTTGAGTTTCTCTGCATATATCGAAAACGTATACCAAAAACAAATAGCTTTTACGACTTTATTTGATTCTTGAATGATTAACTTGCTTATTGCTCTTGTTTGTGTAGTACGTTATTGAAGGTTGGTTGAGTTTGTTTAGAAATGAAGCCGCCACTGACGGTTTCTCCGCTAGCTTCCGTGTCCGGTACTCTCTTCATCTCTTTTTTTATGTTATCTGGATTTTGTTGATGCAAGTTTTTGTTGCGTACAATGCGTGTGTGTGTGTGAACTTCGTGTTAACCATTTTTGTCGTTAGGATTTGTTGCTGTAAGCTGTGTAAGCTTACGTTTTTCCATGATCAAAACATCCGTTACTTAAGTAGCAAAAATATATGTAACAGTACCGGTAGCGGTACAGGTACTGTAGCATGAACCCGTGCTTTATTTTGTATTTTGTGCTTGTGTGTTTTATGATATGCATGTTGATGCTCTGTTTGATTGGGCACATTGTTTCCATATGCTTCAGTTGCTATTTTTATGTTTATTGTTGCTGTTTCTGATTGTTTGTTCTTTTACAGTGAGTGTCACGGTAGTTTTCAAATATGTTGATGCTTAATTCTTCTAATATAATTTATAATTTTGTTGATAGAGTCATATTCCAAGGGACACAAAAGAATGAAAATGTCTGGAGATGCAAAAGATTCCAGTTTAACGGCTTCCCCTTTTACTACAGAAGATGAAGCGAAAGAGGAGACACCAAAGATTTCTCAGAACGTTAACAGTTATTCGGGTCAATTTGCCTTTGCTGGTTTGAAGAATTTAGACTCTGGTTGTTTCGGAAGTGTCACAAAAGACATAAAAGGTCTTATGGAGCTGAAGGCTCAGGTATGGGGTCAGCTTTTCAGAAACAATCCTTTGCTCTCGCAAATGTTTGAAAATGCTGAAGAGAACTTGAGCAAACCAGTGTCAAAGTTGCCATCCAGCAAGCTCGTCCTAATGTCATTGATTTGGAAAATGATGTTCCGTTAGTAGTAATTCTTTCAGATGATGAAGATGAGGGAGAAAGGAGACCCTCTAATCCTCTTTGTGAGGTTGTCACGATGCAGCCTTCTGATGGACAATAGCATACCAAGGACACTGAGGTAAATATCTCTTGCAAGTGTAAATCTCATAATTCAGAAAAGTTATGTCTGTCAGTGCTTATTAAGTGGGCATTAGTTTATTGATTTTATTTTGTATTTTTCATTGTTCCAATATCATCTACATTCTTAAAGTGTGTCTGTGTGATTACCAAATTTAGGTTAGGGGCTATGCGAAGAGAACCATTCAAGTGGAAGAAAGAGTAGGTTTGGCTGTTGAAAGTGATTTTGAGAATTATGAGGATGTTGGTGTAGAAGAGAATAAGGTAACATATGAATTTCACTTTATGATTTTAACTTTTAAAGAATTGAATATGAGAATGGCTAGTGTGAAAGTATATTGTTGTTTGTGCTTGTTGAAGGATAAGGAAGCACCATTCCTTGGTTGTAGTTAATATACTTTATTGATCCAATGTCTCTTATATCCCATTGGAAACTCTGATTTGTGATTATAAAATTTAGGTTAGGGGCTATGCAGAGAGAACAATTCAAGTGGAAGGAAAAGTAAGTTTGGATGGTGAAAGTGATGCTGAGAAAGATAAGGGTGTTGGTGTAGGAGAGAATAAGGTAACTTTTGTATTTCACTATTTATTTTAACTTTTTGAAGAAGCGACTACAAGAATATGTTTGGTTGTGCTTGTTGAAGGATAAGGAAGCACCATTCCTAGGTTTTCGTTAATATTTTTTATTGATCCAATGTCTATCTAAAATTCTGATCTTGTGATTACTAAATTTAGGTTAGCGCTTATGCAGAGGAAACAATGCAAATAGAAGATAAAGTGTGCATGGTGAAATTGCTGTCGAGAAAGATAGGGGTGTTTATGTTGGTGTTGAAGAAGATGATGATAACCAAACCGAGATTAAAGGCGATGATCTAGGGGAAATTTGGCTTGAAATGTATATGTCATTAGAGTTTTCCAAGGTACTCCGTTTTATCAGTTTTCTTTATGTTTTATCTGTTTCTATTTTATGATCATTTTGCAATTAGAGGACTTCTGTATATTTATTATGGTTCTTGGTTAAGGATACTTTGCATAAACTCTTTTTATTTTTATGCTATTCTGTTGTGGAAATGTCCTGGGAAGTAGGCTTAGAATTTTCTGTAGAGATGACTAAGAACTCATTATTACTATTGATCATAGACATTATTACTGTTGATGCTTTTTAGTTCAGAGGAATGTGTGAGGTATGCAGTCTTCTAGAATTATAATTGTGTAGGGATGTTTGATTCTTTGACTCAATTTATTGAACGATATCTTTCCGATTATATATTTTCATTATCCTGACCGTTCATGCTTAACTTGCGGAGTTGCTGCAATATTTACTGTGATTTTATGCTGCTGCTGGTAGGATGCGGTTGAAGATAATTCAGGCAAGGGACACAATGATGAAGATGGAGAAGACTCTGATCATTCATTCTTCTTAAAGGATGACCTTGGCTATGTTTGTTGCATTTGTGGACTTATTGAGAGAGCAATTGAGAGCATAATTGAGGTCCAGTTTAGTAAGGTAAAGTTATTTTTGTTTATCATTTATCTCTTGTTTAAATTTTCCACTTTGATGCCTTAATCAGCTTAGCATCTGATACGACCCCTACTACTCAAATTTACAAAAGGAACCTTAAGGGCAAATAGCGGGTGCGCAAGTGGGAGTTAGTTATCCACGTGGTGAGAACAATGCATTGGGTGTGACGTTGGGGTATATATTGAGGGATTCAAATTGTAAAAAGAGGGATATCTTTTGAGTAGGAATTTGGGAGGAACTAGCCCCTCGAAGAGCTAGCTTATCTTTACGTTTACAGTCCTGTTTTTCTTATTTGATTTTCGCAGTGTTGCTTTTATTCCAGTTATCAATCAATACAGAGTAATATTCATAATAATGTTGTATTATTCATTTCTGTCGGGTGTTTGAACATTGTTTGTCTGGGGAATAAATTACCATCAATTGGGGTTGTGTTGAGCATTGAGGATCCAGGTTTTAAACAGTATCCCTGCTGGAAATTATTTTCCCTTGGGTTTTGATTTTTTATTTGTTAATAGTCAAAAGGAGCAGTAGAACTTACATGTATGATTCACGAAATGCCAAAGGCAGAGATTCAAGCAGTACAGCTGGACTTAAGTTGTATGAAGATGCTTTTTTGGAGACGGACATTGCTACTCATCCAAGACATATGAAGCAAATGAAACCCCATCAAGTGGAAGGCTTTAATTTTCTTCGTAATAATCTCGTGACAGATAACCGGTGGCTGCATCCTGGCTCATGCTCCTGGATCTGGAAAGACCTTTATGATAATCAGTTTCATCCAAGTTTCTTGGGCAAATACCCACAGGCTAGACCACTGGTAGTGCTTCCTAAAGGAATCTTATCTACATGGAAAAAGGAGTTTTAAGACATGGCAAATTGAAGATTTCCCCTTTTTTTATTTTACACTGTGAAAGCTGATAGCTGGGCTCAGCAATTGGAAGTGTTGAAAAAGTGGTGGTGCAGAGAGTACTTTTCTGAAACCAGCAAGGAAGCCATCCAAAGCAGGTGCAGACACAGCTTTTTGTGAGTCAGTAGAGCACCACTTCTAAGGATGATGATTTCAAAAGGAAAGTGAGTGTCATACAAGATCTACGTGAGATGACCAGTAACGTCCTTCATTATTATAAAGGTGATGTCTTGGATGAGCTTCCTGGACTTGTGATTTCACGTAGTAGAACTGAGCTGCAGACAGAAGAGTGAGCTTCCTAAGTGAATATTTGGGCAGGGAGGACAGGTATTTAAGATGTCTGCTGTTGGAAGTTCTATTTTTCTGCATCCGGAATTGAATTCCCTTCCTGAAAATAGTGTCCCTACAGATGATAAGATGGATGAGATTTTAGTGTGAACTGGATTTAAGAGAAGGTGTCAAAGCTAAATTCTTTTTTATATGTTGAACTTATGTGAGTCTGCTGGTGAAAAGTTACTTGTGTTTGGTCAGTACCTCAGCCCTTGAAATTTTTAGAGAGATTGGTTGTGAAAACTAAGGGCTGGAGTCCAGGGCGTGAAATTTTTGATCTCAGGTGATTAAGTGCTGAGGATAGAATGTGTTCCATGGAGCGCTTTAACAGCTCCCCTCACTCAAGAGTTTTCTTTGGATCAATCAAGGCTTGCGGTGAAGGAATCTCATTGGTGGGGGCATCCTGCATTATCATTCTGGATACTCATCTTAATCCATCAGTGACCCGCCAAGCAATAGGCCGTGCATTCCAACCAGGCCAGAAAAAGAAAGTATATGCATATAGATTGGTGGCTGCTGATACTCATGACGAGAAAAATCATACCACTTGCTTCAAGAAAGAATTGATTTCAAAGATGTCCTTTGAGTGGAATGAGTTCTGCAGTTATAGGTGAACGAAATAGAGACAACAACAGGAACAAAATATAATAGTAAAACAAATCAAACAGTAAACAAAGAAAATAACACGTGCGATTTACCCTAGTTCACCCAATGTGGGCTACGTCCAGCTGAGTCAATATTATTGCAATATGCCTCACATCTCTCGTTTACAATGAATGAATTGCTCTCACTTACATAACAAGAGAAAAGTATGTTTATATACTAGTTTAAGAGACTAAACCTAGTTTTATAAGGATTCTTATTCCTAAGTCCAACCCAATAAGGAATTAGTAACTTAAAAGAAATCCTACAGCGGTTATACATAGAAAAGCTCAAAACCGCCTACGGGCTCCGGGGCGCTGTCCTCGCGACCCCCGCCCGCTCACTGGGGAGCGGGGCACCCCAAGTGCGTCTCCGTTACCCATTAATGCTGAAGTAGTCGACAACTCTAACAATAGGAACTTTGAATTGGAGACTGTCGATGTGAATAGTTGTGATGATCCCTTCTTGGAAAGTTCACTCTTAAGGGAAGATATAAGAATCATATACAGAAGGTTATTACTCTCAATTTATCCTTAGCCGCAGTCAGTTCCCAGATATGGTTTCTAACTCCAGTTTTTTATATCTTTCAGGTAGATGCTAGCATTGTGGGATGGAACACCGGTTAGAATAACAATCAGAATATGTACTCCATCTAAATTTAGAATTTGGAAAGCTAGGTAAGCAAGTTTCATTGAACTGTTGATCGAGAACTCTTTTATTTGTCAGTCAGAAAATCTCTTACATAACTCATTGGAAGCTTGAGGATGTTCTGCTGCTTCTGTTAGTAAACTGCTAAGTTAAAATGCCTTGTTTCAGACCATTTTAGAAATTTGCTTTGCTTAGTGGGGACTTCTTTTATTTTCTTTTCTTTAACATCCTTTATGCAAAATGGTTTCTGCTATTTGAATATAGAATTATGTGCCTGGCTATTGTTACCCTTAATATATTATCTTTACCCTAACTGCTACTAACGTTTGGGGTCTACATGTTGACCTAAACATCTTTTCAATCCACTTGTGAAAAAGGTAAACCTTAGGGGGTATTTAACTCATCTGTTTTATATTCTATAGAACTGGATGGAAGATTATGCTTTAGTTAGACCTGATTTAAAGTCGATCTTTAAATGCATTTGAAGGATAGGAATTAGGGAACCTACATAAAACTGGAGTTTCCAAATTGAAATGGAAGATTTTCATAAAATCAGCATTGATAGTTGACATGTTATTGGCTTTTAGTATATGGGACCCAAAACCTTTTTAATATACACATAGCAAAGCCTTCACTTTCCCGTCCTTTGTCCTTTAAAATAAGGCTATGCCTCAGGAAAAATCCTAGACAAGCTTTGCTAGAATTGGTATTCCCTACAATTTTTACAGAGCCTAAGACAAGTCATGTGAGTACTGCCATTGAAGTACTTAATAAAAATACTTAAAAGTGGGAAGTTTCTTGTTTTTGAGAGAGTTCCTCCTTCCTCCTTCAGTTCACCTCTGTCATTATTTTCTTGGAGAGCACGGAAACGGCACCCTCTTGAAGGCGACAGATGAAGCGACAGAGAAGGTAAAAAGTATAAAACTAACTATCTTGTGTTATAACAGAGATGTGAAAAACAAGCAAAAACATTGCTTATTTTAACAAAGTAGGTAAGAGAGGAAGATGGTATAGCTGTAGTAGTCACACTTGAAGAGAAAGCTTCAAAACTTTCCAAGTATTTATTATAATAAGCCAATGGAATCTGTCTCCTTCTCTCTGTTTCTGTTGCTGATTGTGAAATTGACTTGGCAACAATGAACACCAACCAAAAGACAATTAGAGGTTATAAACTTATAATCAAACATCAAATGACAATAAGCCAATCCTTGCCAACTTATTCAAATCAGGGCATCTTTTTTTTTTTTTTTAATCAATACCAAAGTTATAACTAGTTGTAGTGTTGTACACGGTACACCTTTTCCTCCCACATATTGAACAAAAATTATGTATCTTATCTTTACAAATATGCTAACCAACCAATTTCTTGATATATTACAACTGTGTTCTACGTTTCATATCCAGAAGACTACAAATCTTTGGTTTACCATTCACAAAAGCAAAGATCGACGAACCTAAATGAACGGTCAAAAACCTGAGTTTTTCTTCTTACCATAAGAACGACTTTGAGATCCATCCGTGTGAGCATGCAAAGCAATCGCTTTTCAAGCTACGAAGTCGTGTAATAAATGGGCAGAACTGGAGACCAAGAATTTCTTCTAGAAGTTGTTAAGAAAATTGATAATCCTCTTTTATGAAAAGAATATCTAGAAAGATTAAAAAAATATATTCGAAAAAACTAATAGGAAAATAAAAAATAGCTTCTAGAATATTATTGACAAATTTGAAAAGCAAGAAAAGAAGAAATTAACATTTAGAAGATTTAACTAAAGAAATTCAACAAATAAAAGTTGAATTCAGAGAATTAAAAGAGCAACAAAAACAACATTCGAAATTACTAACTACTAAAAGGAAAGATAAATCAAAAGATTCTGGAGATGATGAAGAAAATGAAGAAATATGCTAACCCAAATAACTTATCAAAATGGAATATTTGATACTGAACCAGATTTCAATTGTATCCAAGAAGGGTTAGTTCGTATAAAATACTATGAACAAATACTAGAAATTGCTAAGTCAGCCAATGGATCAACACTTTTTATCAATGTTAGAGTCTATAATCAAAATATTTGTTTAAAACCCTCATTTTTATTAGTACAAAAATTGAAAAGAAATATAATATTAGGGACACCTTTCATTAGTTCAATACAACCATTTAGTGTTGATAAATCTGGAATATCCACAAAAATAATAGTTGAAGTTATTATCTTCAAATTTATACACAAACCCATTTAAAAAAATCTCTCCAAGAATACTCAACATCCAAGAACAAAATTAATCACATTATTCTAAACAAACAAAAACATATACACTTCCTCCAAAAAGAAGTCAAAACTAAAATAATCAAATCTCAACTTCAACAGAATAATATCCGCTCAAAGATAAATCAAATATAAAAAACAATTGAAACTTAAATCTGCTCGGACCTACCTAATGCGTTTTGGGAAAGGAAAAAACATATAGTCAATTTGCCTTATGAAAAAGATTTGGATGAAAAAGAAATACCCACAAAAGCTAGACAAATACAAATGCATAAAGAACTAGAAGAACAGTTTGGCAACATACTCCCACAAACTAGATCAATTGATCTTTAGATTATTTTGATCCATCAACAGCAAGGATATGCACATCTAAAAGCCTGCAAGCCATCAACTAATAACCAATTGATCTTTGATTATTTGTTGCTTTCAACTTAATGTATTTTATATGCACATCTAAAACCCTATAAAAATCATCCAGGAGGAAAATGTCACATGCACTACAAGTGTCTCTACATGTCACTTTTAGTTAAGAAGATAGTTATAGTTTCTAGCTCAGATTTTATAGAAACTTGGGGTAGCCTCAACATTGTGGATAATGGTTTATTGACTTATTACGGTTACCATTCTTATGGTGCCTTTCCTCGTTGTTTCTTTTCCTCTAATGCAGCTCCTTCATTCAACATATCAGTGGCATCCGTGTGCATGTTCAATTTGGCAAGTGCAACTGACTGCATGTAGAAGGCTGTTGGCCAATCTGGATAAACACACTGTGCTTGCATTGCATCTAAAAGGGAAGCATCTGGTTGATCAGAAAAGAGATAGCACAGACTACGCCGTGCATAAACAGTTGGGGAGACCATGGTTCCTACATTTATAAACTGCAAAGAAACAAGAGAACGGGAATGATAATGGTAAATTCCAACTTAAGTAGTTCTGATGATAGCTCACTTCTAGATTTTATTTGCGTTTAAAAAAAAAAAAAAAAAATTCACACACAAGGAAAGCTTATGAGAACCAAATGTCCAACATAAAATATATGTCATCATATCAATTATCACTTCAACCAAAAAGTGGCTGCTTAGTACTTTTTGCAACTTGATTAGAACAAAAAAAAAAAAAAGAACAGGATGAATTAGTAAAAAATGTTTGCAACAGTTGTATATAACTTTGAGTAAAAAGATTACTTCAAAAGGAAAAGAAAATGTGCATAAGAAATAAAGCAAGACAAATGCAAAACAACAATTAACAGTTGCTAAGCAAAGAAATCCAATTTAGCAACTAAGAAATCCAATTTTTATAACCTTCTGATTTGAAAGTATGTTAATAAGTCTTGTTCATACGGAAATTATTTCATAATCCATACTTGAACCAAGAACATATGAATGAGAAATTCAAGATTATACCTGAGAGTAAAAGTCAATGGCAGTTTTAAAATCTTTGTCACGGAATGCATGGTCCCCATGCTTCCTAGCCTCTAGCGTATCTCTCATTTGTTGCGTCCACTCTTGGAAAGATAACTACGCCAATCCAAATTCACATAAATCTCTTAGAATGAAATTCAAGTGTGGAGATAGGCAAGACCCTCTTGTTTACATGTCAAATTATACCTCATTTGTTCCTTCATCATCTCTATAGTGAATCATAACCAAGATCTGATGAATTGCAGTGAGGTCCATCCGTGAACAAGCCTCGCCCATTGGTGAAAGAGGGCGTTGCGGAGTCGGTTGAGCTTCTTCATGCTTTGCACTTGGAAGCATGACAGAGGATGGAACCTGCAAAACCCATAGTATATAACAATTAGGCTCTTAATATGAAGTGATGCTCTTACATGAACTGGGAACATACCACTTATTAACATAGTATATAACAATTATTCTACTCCATTATGCATAGGATGTTTTAAACTATCAAGATGTTTGCAATAGTTATCATATATTAAAAGAAATAATCATCTAAACGGAAGTCCAGTCATCAATCCTAGCCTACACTCAAGTGTTATATTTGCATATTAATTTCCACTTCAAGTATCCCCTCCAATGTCAAAAATAACCTTTTTTGCATCAGGTTACCTGAGCTACAAATTGAACAAAATTCAAAATATGTGAACATATGGTTTGAGTGGAGCAAACTGTAGCAACAAGGACTGCACTGATGACTGGAAATATGAATAGTAACCAAAAAACACAGTTCCTTACATCAGGTTTTGTTTGCAGTGGAGAAAGAGTAGCACAAAGATCCTTTGTACTAGGTCGCTCCCTCGGTTCATATTGCAAACATTGGGAGGCAAGGTCAACCACCACTGTTGCTTCTTCCATAGAAAACTTTCCCTCTAAATGTGAATCCATTAATAGAATGATGTTTTTTCCCCTTATCATGTCTAGAGCCTGCATACATACATAGCAGCAAAACAAATTTAGTGCTTGTATCATGTATATGAGTGACCAAAATTACAGAAATATTATCAGGTACTCATACAGAACTCTTACATCACACTTAGGATAGACAAAAAAATAATGATGAAATTTGACCTTAGAGGAAAAATAGAACAAGTCTGCAATTCTTATAAACAATCAAACTGGGTTGGCAATTTACCAATTAGATGGTCAGTGGGTTGAGAAACATGTTTATAATCCAATTCAAATAAACACACTCAAAGAGCTAACTTTATATGAGACAAATAATATTTAGGTGGATTGTAGAAAGAGCGCACATTAAAGGTATGGTTATAATCCACATTCAAGAAACTATTATGTACAAGAATTGAACCGGAAGGCCAAACTGAAGAGAAATTTAAAGGTGGTTGTTAAAATGTTTATATTTTTGTGCAACAGAAGCTGAATGTATGCAAGATTAAAAAATTGCAGATCTATAGTTCATAAATTGTAGTTGGAATAGCAAATTCTGATTAACACAAGCTGCAACAACCATAAAGCAATAGGTTCTTGATTTTCAGCCAGACAAAGACATTTACTAAAATATATGCCCACTCTGCATAACACAAATATACTTACATGACTAGGAGGGATATGCTTTCCGCTTAACAAATTCATCAGGACAGTGCCAAAGCTGTAAATAACACTCTCAGGGGTGACCCTTCCTTACAATACACAAATTATGTCAATTACAGAAATTATACTTCAAATACGTTCAAGAAAAATAGTTACTAAATTCAGCTATTATAATAACTCATATAATATCGAGCAATAACCAGCTAGCTTTTTATTGTGAAATTTTATTCAGAACAGCAAATCCCTGCATCAGTCTTTATAATTCCCTCATGTATCCAATCATCTTTAGTCTTTATAATTCCCTCATGTATTCAGTCATGTTTAGCCAATCATCTCCCTTTTTCTACACATAGTTATAGGCGATGACGGTTCTATATGGTGACTAAAAGCTATTATTATTATTCTCTCTTTTCATTGGCATTGAAAAGACATTATTCTTTATTCAACTTGATTGATGTACAGAATGTCTATTGATACAATAAATCACTAGATTAGTACTACAGCAACAAATTGATCTACATTCACACCAAGGTAGTCAGAACCTCTTAGAAACAAGTTCCAGCTTTAAATTACGAAAAGCAGCTGATCCTCTTAGACTTGAAAATTTAAATTATTAACAGAGGGGAAAAAAAAAAAAAGCAAACTGAAAGATTAAGTTTTACAGTTGCAAAGTAATTACCATTCCTATTCTTCATCAAGCCAAAACAGGAAAGACATGGATCATCATTCTGCGATGTCCAAGAAGTGAAAGAATGTTAGGTAATAATAAGATGAGTTGCATCCATATTCAAGGAAGAAATACCTCATCAAAGAGAACCCGATAAGCATTTAAATCATGATATGACGGAAGGCCCTCTATGTTACAATAGTCTAAGGCCTCAGCAATATATAATGCTACTCTTAGACGCATTGCCCACTCAATGGTTTGATTTTCCCCTGTAAGGATTGAACAAGAACACAAGATTAAATATCCACAAAAAGAGAAAATACAATTTCATTGATAATCCAAGGAAATTTCCAGGAAGATAATCTATGACAGACTGCTCTAATTTGGGATGTGAATGAGATGGTAACAACTACCAAAATCAATTCAAAACCAGTTTGCACTGAGAAGCCTGTAGTAATTCATTCCTTCTTAAATGAATGGTAAGTTGATCTTGAATAAACAAACTTCGCAATAATATCCAAGCATATATAACATAGAAAGAGACAATGTTGTCACTTTACATCAACTGAGAACACATTTCATGTTATTAATATGTCTCTCCTGCTCCCATTGGAAGATTTATATGCCGAATATCAAAGAGACTATCATCTTCGAGATTCAGCACAAATGTTTAGCTACAGAAAGTAAACTATAGAACAAGTTCCAAAGACTAAGAGCTAAAACAGAATTCCTGAATACTCTAGCTAAAGTTTGAACAATAAATTAAGAACTGACCCAACTAGATAAAAATAAGCAACGTTGGTAGGGAGACGCAGTAGCATCAATCAATTTAAGCCAAAAATAAAGAGTTCTTGCTCCTATTTCGACACATGCATAAATAATATTGCAACAAAAAGCATCCATGTATAATTTCAAAACATCGGAAACTAAAGAATCACACATACAGTGAAACAAATGCTTAGCAAGAGTATCATTGGGCATGAACTCAGCAACAAGCAACCGCTCATCGCCTTCACAACAGTACCCTATCAAATTCGCCAGCCTCTTGTGCCTCAACTTTCCCACACCCCTTGCCTCCTCCTACAAAAACAAGGCCACTTTATTCCCACAAGAATCAAAAGCCTAGAAAAAAAGAAGCACAATACCACAAACTGTTGAGGGTCAGGCCAAGCGGTCTTAGTAAACTTCTTAACAGCAATCCACTGGCGGTTGTTGAGGCGACCTTTGTACACAATATTCGGAGCCTTTTCACCGTTCTCAGAGACTATATTATTAGAGCTGAAGTTGTTGGTGGCGGCCTTGAGGTCCAAGAAGGAGAATTCAATGAAATTTGAAGCCCCATTTGTTGCTGGGTCAGGAAGAGAAGAAGATGAAGAAGGTGGTTCATGGTGGGGTGGCAGGTGAGTATCTTGATGATCTCTTTGTGAGTGAGTCCTTTCAAACAAGGATGATTCACAGCAACCCATGAGCTAGTTTTGAATGTTGGATAAGAATCATGAGCTGAGCAAAGAAACGGGTTCTTCTTTTCTTATTTCTTGGTTGCTTGTTGATTTAAGTTTCCTCGGTTGCCGTTGCTGGGTGTTACCATGTTTGTTTGTTGAGGGTTTAACTGTAAGCTTTTACAGTTAAACATTGATGTGGACTCCACAGTCTGACCAATATAAAATACAACAACAACATTATTATTATTATTATTATTATTATAGAATTAACAAGAAACCCATTTTAATTTCAGAGAAAATCGAATACAAGGTTAGGTGTTGGATCATATTTCATCACCTAATAATATATAATTGTTTTTTAAGATGAAATCAATCTATCATTACTTTTACCCAAATTGAGATTTACCTTGTAAAGGGATAGGTTAGAGTGGAGCATCATGCATTTATTTTCATTTTTTTTTCCTGCAAAATCTAAGAAATGGTGTGGTGTACTTTACTTGGAGACTCTCCTTATTTATATACAAATTGAAGATAAATAGGGGAAGCGTGTCGCAATAGTGTTGATCTATTAATTCCATGATCAAAGAAAGAATATTTGTACTGCATTTCAAGGCATATATTCTATACCAACTCATTTGCTGTATTTCTTTGGTATGTTTATAAAAAAATAATAAGAAAAATAAAGAATTGGGGGGTGAAAAGAGTTCCCAATACCATAATTTTGGTGATGAAAATCAAAGGGAATACACAATCTTTGGAATTGACATTTTTGTTCTTTTAAACAGTGCACTGAGATTTGCAACTTTTTTCAATTTATTACAGAGTAAGTTTGGGGAGNACTCTCCTTATTTATATACAAATTGAAGATAAATAGGGGAAGCGTGTCGCAATAGTGTTGATCTATTAATTCCATGATCAAAGAAAGAATATTTGTACTGCATTTCAAGGCTATATTCTCTACCAACTCATTTGCTGTATTTCTTTGGTATGTTTATAAAAAAATAATGAGAAAAATAAAGAATTGGGGGGTGAAAAGAGTTCCCAATACCATAATTTTGGTGATGAAAATCAAAGGGAATACACAATCTTTGGAATTGACATTTTTGTTCTTTTAAACAGTGCACTGAGATTTGCAACTTTTTTCAATTTATTACAGAGTAAGTTTGGGAAGGGCAGAATCAGATGGAGATGGAAGGTGGTCCAGACTCTTACAGTGCTTTCAAAAGCATAAAATTTACTAGATTTAACTCTTTGAGTGTGGATGGATCCAATGGACCACAATCGATTCTACTTCTAGATTCACAGTGTTATGTTTTTCCAACAACTTAAGACATAAAATAAGCCGCCACCATACCTTTACAACTGGATATATGAGTGTGGGACTTTTATTTCACTAGATTTTCTGCATTATCTGAAACAGAACTTCTGCTCCTGTCAATCTATTAATTTAATGTTGCCATAACATTCTTTTACCCCCTCAATCTATAAGTTTAACATCATGTAACATTACATGTATAATATATTATATAGAAAACTTATTTTAGCCGTCGTTCAATCTATTAAATAATTCTGCAGTTCGTCTAAGGTTGTTTTCCTTACATCATCAATAATATGATAAAACTTGTGGGATTTTGTTCTGATAAGTAACCCAGAATTGCTAGAATCGGCGTTTACATTGTAACCAGAAACATTGGGGGGGGGTGGGTGTTTCAGCTTGCCTGGTATCGAAGGTCTTCTGTACAATATAAATCAATATTTAAAAGAAAGAAAAAAAATTTAACTTATTATACAATATCTGATTTCTAAACATTTGCATGACTTGCGTCGCTAAGAAACAACCTCCATTAGTCTAATTCCAACTTATCTTCATGCAAAACTGAGATTTGCTCACTTGGATTGTTTCACCTCCAGCTGTGGTCATTTGCAGCAGCATGACCTGCCCTTGATCAGTTGATCATCTCTTTCACTACATGCTGGTGGAGAACCCAATAGGTTATTTTCGGCCATGAATGGCTATCAGTACAATACTGGGAGATGATGCTGACAAAGCCCCTCATGTTGTCCAGCATCAGCAATAGATGGAAGTGGCTTCATTTGGTTTCAAATCACCAGGTCTATCCCCTTTTCACCTGCATATTATAGCCCAATTGCATCGACTGACTCCAAATGGGTCAGAACTGTCAGTGCTCAATCAGCAGATATTTTTTAAACATTGGGAATTCAATCCTGCCAAATTTTATGCCACCAATATGTTTCAGAGCTGAGTGCTGATATTCATTATCATCATACATAACCAAGTCTCCTCCGAAGAGCAGTCTTAGAAAACCAGCCAAAGCAAATGGGGTTGGAGGTATATGACGAGAACAAAACATACCTGTAAGCTTCATAATCACAAACCCCTCAAAGATCCCAAGCTCCATAAAAGGTTATGGTTGAACACAAGCTGCAGATGATAACCAGATCAGCAAGAATTAAGAGATGACGGAATACCATCTCAATAAACAGTCCTACGAAACTCCTTCATTTTGTCGAGCAAGTAATTCTTCTTGGGTACGCTGCAAGAGCTCTTCATAAGCTTTCACAGATTCAGCTGTGAACCTCTGCATGGCCTCAAAAATGTGTTGCAGACTAACCTGAAGATTACTACTACTAGTTTCACTCGGATATACAGTTTTTTCCAACTGATTGTTACCATCCCCAGAAACCAGAATAATTTTCTTGTCTAATGCCTGAAACTCCTTCTGGATCTTTTGTTCCTCTCTATCCAAGTTCCTAACTTTTCTCTCGTAATCCTTATTTGTCACCATCTTCTGGCGCAGTTCTAGCTTATCATGTTCCCAAAGTTCAAGCACACTCGTGGCAAGAGCACGCATGGAATCAATTACTTCCTTCTCAGATATTCTGTCCAAAGCTTGTGACCACTGATTACAAATTACAAAAATAGGAGGTGCACCAATCCTACCAGGTGAGAAGGGAACTATTCCATCAGCTGTTTCTTCAGGTTCATACAGAAGACACTTCATAAGCCAACCATTCAAGGCCCTGACATAACCCTTCTGTGCACCAATCCAACTAGAGAATCTAAAAATCCAATTAAGAACCTCATGTTCAAGCTGTGATGTCGCATCAAGATGTGCATCACCAAGTTTCTTGCCGGATCCAATGTGACCAAAACCCTTGGCGTCTGTAATTGCTTGACACTGATTATGATGGCATTCAAGCATACTTTTCCACATTCTGGTTAACCTGAAGTAAAGAATTTCAAGGTAAACCATCATCAAACCAATTTAAAAAGGGTGCACATGAGCAATGGAGCCACAAAGGACAAACATTCTAAAAAAGCCACCATCAAGTAAACAAAACCCACAAACATCAACAAGCAGAGGACAGGATAAATTCAAAAAAAAAAAAACTACAATGGATAGAATATTTAACTGCCTGATGATTAGACACATAAAACCCCAACTAGATGAATGAACTTCGACAATTAACAAACATCTGTAAGCAGAATCATGAATGAAAGAGAACAAGAGAAATAAAGAGATAGAGATAGAGATAGAGAAAAATCAACAAGTATGGAACAGAAGCTTTAAGCTCAGAACTAGACACTATCCAGTCCCACTAGTCTATCGACTTAAAATTCACTTGGGCTAACTAGTAAGCCATAAGAAAAGCATCAGACCCACAGCTCATATATCTAAAGATTTAACAGAAACATGAGAGCATTTTATGAAATCAGAAATTACATTTACTGAACTATTGGGTAGTTATCATAGAAGAAAATGATGTTGCGACAGCAACAGGACCAAATCAGTATCATGCCATTGCTGTAGCTATAACATTTCCATAAAAAAATTCCTGGAGTTTACAGTAGCATATCAATATGATTCTAAAGCTGTAAAGACCTTCCCTCTCCCACACCAACATTACCACAGCCTTCCCCTGTATTAATTATCCAACAAGAGGATGAATAACAACACATTGTTAAACTAAAGCACTGAATCCCCTCAATATTAAGCATACAAGAAGCATCAAGGACTAGGGATACACATATCGAGAAGTATATAATATCAGCATCACAAATGAAGTCAATCAACCTAAAACTAAATGCTACAATCACAATATGAACAGATAACATCAAATTACCACAAAAAGAGCTAAAAGAAAATTACAGATCACATACCCTTGAATTAATTCATTTAGTTGTGGCCACAGCTCTTCATCCCTAATCTTGTTAATTGTCACAGAGATCTTATCAACAACCTGAATTGCCATTCCTATTTTTATGGACAAACTCTTAATTAAAGTTCGAGCTGCATCAACTTTGTGAGCCTCAGCACCCCTTTCATCCATGCGCTTCAGCTTACAGACCTTCCTGTCATGAATTACTCGCATCTTTTCCTCATTCTGTGAAAAAGTTATCACGGAAACATTTTGTTAGAAAGCACAGCAAAAAAAAACTAGCAAGATTAGAAACACAGAATACAAAAGGCTTGAGTGTCATCTAGGTTATAAAGCTTTCTAGGAACCACCAAAAGCTGATCTAGATCACTCACATAGTAAAATCTTTGCTACGCAAAAACTGCTGTAACAATGATATCAAAGAGGAAAATATTTAGTAGAAAAGTAGCAATATTGTATGAGAACATACAATAAAGGCCACCAATTGGCCCTTCAAAGGCCATATGCTTCAGTACCATAATCCCAAGGGAAAACATTTTCCTAAAATAGGATTTCAACAAAAAAAAAAAAAAAATATGATAAATCTTTCCTTTTGAGATTAGAATGAGCACTGGCAAGATGATAAAACAATATAGGCAATAAATGGATCCCGTACAAGTGAAAACACTATAAGAGAATTGTAATTTACAAGGACAGATGTGCCAGGAATCATGTACTTCAGGAAAACAATAAAGTAAAATCTGAATGGTTGTAGCAACCCAATGGCTGGAAGATTTTGAAGGTTTAGTGGAAAAAATGAAGTCATTCCAACAAACAACATAATTAAAAATCACAAGTTACAACATACCTTCACTTCATGATAGAGTTTCTTCTCCCAAAGATACAGCTTGTGCAAGGTAGAAGAAAGATTTCTTGTCCTCATTGCCATATCTTCATCAATATCCGCAAAAGCGGGGCCAGCTTTGTTAGCAAAGGATGATGATTCAGAACTCTTAGATGTAGATGGCTGTGAGGATACCACAGACAACGAAGGTGTAACAACATGCAACATCTTGGAAACTGGTTCACCGAGATCCATGAAATTCAAAGTTAAATTGCAGCTAAATTGGGTCCAATTCAAAATTATACAACCCCTTTGCTTAAATAAAGAAAACATTAACTTCTAACAGATCTGTAAACTTGATATTTGGGTCATTAAATTAGTCCATCATTTACAAAATTAAAACAGATCAAGCAAGGAAATGAGTGTATAACAGTCATTCACTGAAAAACAAAAAGATTATAGATATAACTAAACTATGAGAGAGCTTCAATTTTCATACCATGTTTCCGCTGGTAGGGAAGCTTTCCCACCTCAAGCATCTTAGCAATTTCACTTCCAGACTCAGAAGCTCTCACAAATTGAACCTCAAGTTCTCTTGCTACATCAAAAACATCTCGAGGACCAGCTCTAGCTGTACTGCTATGCTCTTCATTTCTCTCTTCATCCACAACCTTCTTGTCCACCACATGCACCTCATACTTCACATCTTCATTATCCACACTAGGCCTTGTCTGATAAAAAGACGGCTCGGCATCACCATCACCAACATTCGCACCGCCGCCTCCACCTCCTCCACCACTGCCGCCGCCGCCACTACCATCAACAAACTTCTCCTCCACATGCACTTTCTTCACCTCATGAGGATAATCCTCCTCTTCCAAATCAGGAATTCCCTCTTCCTCTCTCAATTCCTTTGAATCCCTACTTGGAGTATAAGATGGGTAGTACTTATCATAACTCTCAAAAGGGTTCAAGAAATCCCATGCCGAAGACTTTGGCGGGGAAGGAGGAGGCGGCGGTGGTTTCGAGGATGAAGCCACAGCCTCTGCCCTCTGCGGAGACCCATAAGTAGGTGGTGCTAAACCATAATAACTACCACCTGCACCACCACCAGGACCACCAGGAACACCATAACCATAATTNTGAATTCTAACTCCTTTTTCTCCATGATTCCCACCCACACTAACTTCAAAATGCGGCCATCCCACTTAAATAAATAAATGAAAAAAAAAAAAAAAAGGATGAAGAAGAAGAAGAAAAGAGAGAAAACTTCGTCGTCCTAAACAAATATCTCTTTCCAACTCCACTGTATCCTGAGGAGTTGAGAGGTTCAGACTTTTATTTTATATGTTTTTTAATATATGGATTTTCTTTTAAATAAAAAATTATTGATCAAGTTCTTAATATCATATTATTAAATCTATTTTTAATTTCAAGGGGTTTATGCTATTAATCGAAATGGTAGAACCTAGACTGGGGTGATTAAGTATTCTCTCTGTGCATGTGTTTATTTTGGTGTTATGAAATTTGTAGGGGCTCACCAAGGAAACGAGTGTCCCCACGTTTATTTTAATAATTTATGGTAACAAGAATATGTTATGCCTAAAAAATACAAGGGTTGACGTCAGGTTCATCTAGCCCACGAAAGTTAGATCATTGGAACAATCACCGCATGCGTCCGTCAGGATAGTGGGTGCGCATCAGGCTAGTCAAGAGCTGTGGTGCTCCCACGTGTCCAATCCCTGCTCTAAATCGCGCAAATCACTCTGGAAGGTGGGCAATGTGACATAAAGAAGGATTTGCACGAATAATCACATAAACTTACAGATTTAGTGATTATTATCTCAAGGCATCCCACTATAAAATTGGAGCTTCTCTCTCATTAAAGGGGATTGGCATTTTTACGCTTGATTAATTACTCTCTCTTTCCTAGAATTCTCGGCATTAGATACCTTGTAACATTATTGTAAAGTCAGTCGGCTAAAAGCGATCTGACCTTTATCATTTATATAAGCATCAGTGGACGTAGGACTTGCTAACTTAGCATTCGAACCACTTTAAAAACTGTCCCTATTGCATTTACTATCTCTTTTATCCAGTACATTCACGTGTGTTTTTGGGTCCGCACAGCATTTCACACGTGCGTTTCGTTGGTGCAAAAACACTCATCAACAGTTTGGCGCTAGAAGGAGGGCCTGATTTAGTATTCATCCTTCATCAGGAGAATCTCCAACTTACCAGTCCTACAGCAACAAATGGCCCGCCAACCAGAGCATGAGCAAACCAACCAGGGCACTGAGGGTCCCCCCCAAGTTTAGGGGGATGCTTCTTCCAAAAAACCTTCAGCCTCGCAAAACGCTGTGGGAGATATCCCGTCAAGTTCCTGCTTGACCCCGTTATAAGAAGCTACCTAGAGAGGTTTGACAATACTCTCCAGACGGTCAACCAAAGGTTGGACCGTTTGGACCAAGGCGCGCCATCTAAGTCAGTTGCGGCGGTGCAACTGCCAAAAACACCTGCAGGTCGCACGAAAGCATGACAAAGGGAGATAGCCCGTGCCGCGAGCATTGCAGCGCGTAGATGAAAGGGTAAGCAAGTGGCAAAAAGCAAGCCCACGGGCTCCAAAGGGCCAACCAACACCGACTGCGTCCCAAGCGGAATACCAATTTCGTTGAGACTCGGTGAAAAGACGAAGCCCGAGCTGTCCCATGCCACGTCGCAGGCGCATATCCATAAAAGTGCTGGACGGGGCGATTCTTATCACCGCCAGCAAAGCAATCCTGATCGTCACCGTGCAAGAGGGTCCCACACTTCGTGGGGCGGTTCTTACCACCGCGAAGGTCGTGAAAATACCCTGCACCCTTCATCGCCATCACACACCTCTAGTCAGCATGTGTCAAGAGTGGCTGGAACCGCCAGCTGAGGTGAAGAGGAACCCGACCTCCGGACATTACTCAATCGTAACCGCGAGAATCGAACTTGCATGGGTGAAAGTAACCCCCAAGCGGCTCCATTGCCGCAGATTGAGGAGCTACAACGAGCTCTTGACAGACTAAGAGCCCAGCAAAATGAGCAGGGGCAGGTCGCATCCGCGTCCCTCTTCTCTCCCGAAGTGTTAGCCGCTCCACTCCCGCCAGGATTCAGGATGCTCGACATATGGGCGTTTGATGGAAATTCCGATCCGCAGGATCATCTATATGAATTTAATGACCTGATGGAGCTTCACCAGGTCTCAGATTTAGCAAAATGCCACTGTTTGGCAATGACGCTGACCTCCCATGCCAAACGATGGCTCAGGTCGCTCCCAGCGGGGTCGATCGGTTCGTGGCCTCAGATGAGCACGACGTTCCTAAGGCATTTTCAAGCGAATCGAAAGTTTTCGATGCCTTTGAGTTACCTTAGCAATATATGGCAAGAAAGGAACGAATCCCTCCAGTCTTACATTGACCGTTTCCATAGAGAGCTCAACAAAGTGGCTCAACAAAGCAAAGATAACCTTTGAGAAAGAGACCGACTTGATATTCTTCATAAATACTCAGTTATTATATCTCTACTCGCTATTCGCTATACTTGACCTCTTGTAATCTTTCATATATAATAGAAACAGTGGACGTAGGAATCACTTATAAGTATCCGAACCACTTTAAAAATCATCTCTCATTTATTATTCAGTCTTTGCATTAGATTATCACAATCATTCACATGTAATTTCTAAGAACAACTTAGCACTTTGCATGTGCGAGTCGTTGGTGTCAAAATCACGCATCAACAGTTTGACATCTTTATTTTCAGAGCAGAGATAACCTTCGAGAAAAAGACCGACTTGATATTCTTTCTGAATACTCAGTTCTTGTAACTTTGCTCGTTGTTCGCTATACGCGACCTCTTGTAATCTTTATTGATCAAGACAATTGTCAAGCACAACAGATAACACTTGAGGAGGTCGTTCGAATAAGACATTTGTTCCACATGTCAAATTCGAACACTGAGCAAAATGATTCTCAATCTTCGACAGCAAAATATTCTAAGTGTTTTCAGGTCATGAATGATAGGTAGAGTGCAAAATACATTTTCATAGCACTGATCATGATCTGGATCAAGTTGTTGGACCTTTAAGAAACAATCATATCAGGTTGCTTGTGTAACTCAAAGACCCATGTCTCAGTTCGCTAGTCGAGTCAGACTATCAACCTCATGTCATATGTTACAATGTGGTTGTTCTCAACTGTTAGTTCGAGCAAATACTCCTCGAGACAAGTCAAATCGCAGCATAATCATGAAGTTCTTAAGATTCAATCTTTGAATGTTGAGAACTGAGGAGCTGCTGTTATGCTTGAAAAATCAGGGTTGACGTTAGCCTACGTCAGTAAGCACCAATTAGAGTTCAGGAAGGTTTTGCACCGCCAAGAAGCTGCCACGTTGCTCCATGACAGAAAGAATATGGTTGTCACCAACTTGGCAGATTTAAGTTTTGCCTATGAGTGATTGAGGGCTGCACACATGTTCAAGCCCCAAGTACTTTGAGGATATTTCCTAAGTTACCAGCCAATGAGAGGCAATGAAGGACTTGCATGTCACCTACCCACTTGCAGATTTGTAATCATCACTTTGAATTCCTCTACTATAAATTGAGGACTCCCCTTCTCATTTTCAGGATTCTGATACTGAACCCATTTTTTGATTGTAACATTTATTTTCAGAGCAAACATAACCTTCGAGAAAGAGACCGACTTGATATTCTTTTTAAATACTCAGTTATTGTACATTTGCTCGTTGTTCACTATACGCGACCTCTTGTAATCTTTCATATATAACAGAAACAATGGACGTAGGAATTCACGTATAAGCATCCAAACTACTTTCATTTATTATTCAGTCATTGCATTAGATTATCACAAGCATTCACGTGCAATTTCTAAGAACAGTAACATTTTGCACGTACAAGTCGTTAGTGTCAAAATCACACATCAACACATATAAAAGATTTCTTAAATTCACTTTCTTAAACTTCCCACTTGGAATTATTGTTTTTAGTAGGCATTACCAGATTTTACTGGAGATAACTCAAGCTCACTCACACCCTGGTTCAACTCCCATAGTAAAAGACATAATCTTTCTGAAGCTAGAAAAATACTTGTTTGTGCCCTAGATTATAAAATATTGAGGTTACTGACAAAAATGTTTGTGCCATAATTTTTTATTCTTTAATTCCTTACTATAGAAGCGGCGGGTTTTCCAAAAGTGGCAAGTTTTCCAAGAGCGACAAAAAGTAAGTCTTCCATTCCAATAACACACACTAAATGATGACTTTCAAAATAGGTTTCAGTTGTCGATACGTTTGGAAAGGGGACTTAACCAGTTTAATAATAGTTTATTGAACCCTCTCATTAAAGGTCCAATAAATCTTAAAGCCCACACTTTGTCGTCAATCCATATTAATGAAATGAGTGTACTGGACAAAATTTTAATAAAATCACATTAAGTCCATTAATATATCAGTGGACTATATATTTATCCGGTTTTAATTAAAACAATATATAATTAATGTTAGCTTACAATTAGAAAAAATTTCTAGCACAAGCAACCTAAGAAGATATTCCACATTTTAGAAGAATCACTCCAGAAACAGATGAAAACGCAAATTCTTTAAGTAGCAATCGAAAGCTACTTCTTCTCAATTTGTAGAAAAACAACCATTAATAATAATAATAATAATAATAATAATAATAATAATAATGCAGAAGAATGATGATAATAGCAATTCAAGAATTAAAAGAGTTATATATTATGTTGGAATCGTTTTCAATTTCAAATCTAATAAGTTATAAACGTCTAAATACCAATGTTTGAATCTTTTTCTCTAACCATGAAAGAAAGTAATTTAATTTTATCAAAGAATTAAGGATATAATTTAATATAATGTAATTCAGAAAATTAAGAAAATAATCAAGCAAAGATTTTAATTTATCAACAGTTTAATAGACTAAATAACAATTTTCAAGACTTCTTCCTAAAAAATGAAAGGAAATATGTAGTATAATTATGGTAAAAATCAAGAAAATTTATTAGAATATATTTTAATTGAAACAATAAAAAATTATTTAGAATAGAATATCATATGAAAATGGTATCAATAATTAAGCAAATAATTTATTTGTTCAATGTTTTAATTGTATTTTACTATTTTTTTCATTGTCTAAGAAAATATATGTATTTACATTTTTTGTTCAAATAATTTAGTAGTTAAGAGTGTTAAAATATTCCTTGATGCTTTGGAAACCTACCATAAACATTGATAATCAAATTAACTTTTAAATTTCAAATCAAATATAAAAAATATACATCTTCAACTTCCATCTATTAAAAGGAAAGCTCCAAAATTGTTTTAAAATGTTATTGTTAAAATTTCCTTATTATATATATATATATATATATGGATGAAAATAATATAAATTATTTTAAATATGTTAAATAGTATAGTAAAACTTTATAATGTTGAAAGGAAGTCTAAAGTTATAAAATACATATAAATTATTAAAAATTAATTTTTTTTTTTTTGTTTATGAAAACATGGGATACAAAAAAATAAAAAAAAAAAATCTAAAAATGTGTTTGATAGAAATAAGCTAAAATATTTCCAAAAACAGTTTTAAGATACAATCTTAAAAAGAAGTGCAAAGTTGCAAAGCAGTTTAATTCATTTTTACAGTTTTCTATAGTTTTTAATCTAAAAATAATTCTTGAAAATTATATCAAACATATTTTTAAATATTAAAAATATTAAAGATACAACTCAAAATTTGAATCGTGTTACAATTTTAAAATTATTTTCATATCACAAATCAAACGAAACTTAAATTATCCTCTTCCATTTATAAACCTGATCTAAATTAGATGAATGACATAACTAATATCCTAATATATATAATAAAAAAAAATTAAAAGCTGTGAATTTAGAGCAAGTTTATATATATATAATAAAATCTCGTGTGTTTGATCTTTTTATCGTGGGCATTCGTTGGCTTTGGAAATGTGACCTAGTCTCTAAGTATTTGGCCTTTTTCGTTGTAACCACCCGTCTATTTTTTACAAACTATTAGATTATTTTGTTTGAGTTTAAAAGAAATGCCATTTTTTACTATTCACCCAAATTCAATCAATCTAATCCAAAATGTGTAGACAATGTTGAGAGGTTAGTAACTTAATTAGTATGTCTTTTTCAAGTTAAATTGATGAAATGATTGATAAATTTGAAAGTTAAGTTGATAACATTTCCAAAACCAATAGGTGCTCAATACAAAAAATGTCAAACACATGAAAGTTAAGACATGTATTACCCTAATGAAAGAGTGCTTACTACAAAAGGGTCAAACATTCTAGGGTTTACCATTAGAAAAAAAAAAAACATTTTAAAAACCCATACCTTTAAAAAAAAAAATTGTAAGCAAAAGACCTATCTAAAATTGAAAACAAATGTACTACATTTATAATCTAATCTCACAACCTTCTCTTATAACCCTAACGTGACATCAACTGACAACTTTGACTAAACATGAACGGTTGTTCCTTAGAGATGAACAATCGTTCATTATGGACGAATGACCGTTCATTAATAAGAAACAGTTGTTTAATTCGTAAGAAATGATTGTTTCTTCAGAAACGATCGTTCATGTTTAATCAAAATCATTTAGTGTCTTGGATGTGATTGAAGTTGACGTGACAGTTGTCAACTTAACTGTCAGGTTAGAGTTGTAAAAGAAGATTATGGCGTACTATTACTCAATTGAGAAAATGTGGTGTGTTGTTGTTTTAGTTAACCTTATAAGCGCATCGGAATATATATTTAATTCCACATGAGCTCATATTTATCGGAATATACTTTTGATTTAAAAAATTAAAATTAATATCTAACGACTAATAATTAATGAAATCCAATAAGTAATGAAAGATTAAGGAAATCTGACTTATAATTTTATCATTACTAATTAATTCATACATTGTTTAAAAAGATAATTAAAAACTTAATCTTTTGTTTTGCATGAACATTAAAATTACGCCTAATTTATTTAATGGGCAATTATAATTTGAAAGCATTCTACGTATCCAATATTTTAATTAATACAATAACTCAAAGTTATTATGATAAACTTATATCATCGAAGCTTGACCATTTAAAGTTTAAACAATTCCGAGGATTGATAATTCATGATATCAAAGATGAAAATTCAATTAATAAACAAAGCAAGAAAATAACAAAAATTCAAGGGGAATCAATTCATACAAAAGAATTTTAAATTAGATTTTATAATTAATACTTAATCTATTCATTTTTTACTGTGTTTTGCTACCAAGTGTGATTTCAAATTAAAATATCATTTTCCGATAAATGTGTTGAACTTAATTTTATTTTTACCTTCTCAAAATATTATTTTTTAGATAAACATATCAAATATATTTCCATTTATAATTTGTTCAAAAAAACACAAAATGAATTCAAAAACTAACACACCCTTAATCACATTAGTACCACATCCGCGTATTTGCATTACACTAATGTGATGCGTGAACTCCAAGAGGTTGGTCTAACGGTTAAAGATGTTTACTCATTTCATTTAGTATTTAATGGATCCCAAATATTAGTTGAGGTACGTGTAAACTGATCTGAATATCTTAATTACTTAAAAAAAAAAAAAGTGATGCGTGACAACTTTAAGGGAAGTAATTTAAAAAGTAGTCCATAGTTTTAAGTTGATTAGTGCAACCCTCTCTTTTGATCTATATAACGCGTGCTACTAAATACGCCAATAGTATATATATATCGTTAATAAAATAATAAAGAAATTATTTTTATAAATGTATGGTTATTCTAGAATTCCCTAGCAGAAATGCAATGGTAGCGAAGTAGTTCAAGGCATTTATCAAGGTAACGTGATAAAAGTTTAAAATGTGAACAAAATATAACCGTCCGCAAGGATAATAACAAAGCCTTAAGTCATGTCTTCCAACCAAACGTTGATACTTATCGACAGATTTTCAACCAAACCAAATAAACAAATAAAATATGTTTATTATGTAAAAGCGTATTTTAGGTTGACATGCCAACAACGATTTTATTTCTATTCGCACACAATATGCATGCCGTTGTCACAAATTAAATCTTTTCGATAGATTCGATGTTCATTGTTTATAATATTATTAAATTATTATATGCATGCTAGATTTTTCCGAAGTGCCTTAGCACTCTCAGTAGCGGGGGAGAATAACAATTTCCTCCTCAATGTTTGAAAAAACCTTTTAACACACCGATGGATTCTAGAAATAACAAATATACCCTTAGTCAAGTTTTAACCATTACAAGGGTAAAGAATAATACTACACATATAATATTCTTATACAACATTTCTCATACAACATTATGTGGCAAAAGATGATTGGGTGAAAGTTTAATTTTAATTTAAAATCAGTCAATTATATTTTATCACATAATGTTGTATGAGAAATGTTGTATGTGTAGTATTACTCAAGGGTAAAATAGCCAAATACGTCAATTGTCAAGGGTAAAATAGCCAAATATGTCAATTATAAAATTAACAGAAACTAATTTTTTGAAATTATAAACACACCCAAAATAAAAAAAAAAAATTAAAACCACCACCATCACTATCTCTTCAAATTTCAATCTTAAAATATCACCGCTTCTCTCTTAAGACTCTTGCTTTAATAGGTAGAGTGGCAAGTTGTGGTTGGGTGAGGAAAATGGGAATATATATATTGGATACTTGGGGTGTCCACTGTCCAGGCCAGCTTGTGGACACCTTAATTAATTCCCAAGGTCCATTGAACACCCTACCAGCTCAATACTCCAAGTAAATCACAAATGTGATAGGTGGTCCTAAGGTGATTTGAACTTAAAAAGTCAACAAAGAGAGCAAACCTTCTTGACCATTGTTTGAGGTATTGTTGTAATTAACAAATTATTACATAAAAATAACTAAAAATATAGTTATCTTATTTTTAAAATTGAAATATAATAAATAATATTACAAAGGAGTATTATAAGACAAAGGACACTAAAGTATACTAACAATAAAGTTTTTAATAAAGATTAACTCACAACCCAATCTCACAAACTCTCTTTCACAATCCCGATGTGGCAACTAACAATTGGTCAGATGGCAAAATTTATTAGAAAATAATTATAAACTATCACGTCAGGCTTGTCAAAGAAAATTTGTGAAATTGAGTCTTAAATGTAGTATTGTCCTAAAGTATTAAATTATGTTTTCGTCTGACAATTGTTTGGGTGTATTTGTTAGTTTTCAGAATCTTCTGAGTTTTAAAAAACCTTAAAAGAAGTAATTGTCCCTCAGTGGTAGTGTTCATTAAGTTAACATAGAAGTTTAAAACATGGAGACAACGTAAACGTGAAAGAACTATGACTTGAGCAACAAAGTCTTCAGTCGTCTCTCCCAACCGAACATTCAATACTTATCAACTAATTAATTAATTAAAAAAATTTGATTCTGTATTATCGAATTGTTTATCATTTGGCTATTGACCTATTGTAATAGTATAGTGAGCCTAAAGCAGTAGCCAACCACTCCCTTTATTATTCCAAATCCTCCATATCGCCTCCTCGTATTCTCTCTCTGCTATGGTTACTCCAATCCAACAGAAAGCTCAAAAAACCAAACCCAGATCAAACACCTGCTTTCTTCTTCATTGCTTCGGGGCGTCCAAGAAAGTAGTAGATTCCGAGAAAGTTGTCCAATCTGACAGTAATAATAGCAAGAAAGATATTGGTTTGTTTCGTCGTCGGTCAATCTTTTGCATGGAAATGCCTAATAACAAAACAGTTCCTATAGCTGAAGCTACAGATCATAATCAGCCTAATACCGACGTTCATACACCAAAATCCAAGAAGTCGAAATGGGTTCTTTGTAAGCTCTTGATCAAGAAACATCAGAATTCGATCGTCAACATCACGCCGTTTGAAGAAACTCCTGCAGTCCCGAAAGAAATAGTTGAAGTGGTATGTATTATTAATTTATTATCATTAATCAAATTCAAAACTTACAGATTTTAACCTCGAATTAACTTTTAAGTGTTTTTCGGTTTTCAGGTGAGGGCGGAGGAATTCCAACAAAATCGCACCATTACTGAGGATCAGAAATCATCTGAAGACAACTGTCAAAAGACAGTATCAAATCAGCGGAGAAGAGAGGAAAAAAGAACTGGGATGTCGAGTCAACCCGGTTCTCCTCGAGTTTCTTTGCTGCAGGCTCCGAACCCACCATCTAATTCTCGGATCAAACAGAAAAAGATTCATCAGAACAACAATGTGACAGTCAAAAAATCCGAACACTTGATGGGTATGTCAATTATTATAGTGATTCTGATAATAACTATAGTTTGGGGGCGCTTATGTGCGATTATGTGTACGTCTGCATGGTTCTTCTTCGTCGCTCGTTACAAAAGTGAAAGTAAAACTAGTAGTGATTCAGGTGATCTTGATTTGGATTCTGAAGAGTATAAGAAGAAAGTGGTTTTCGAGGGTTTTCTGGAAAGAGATCACAGGGCTATCCCAAATTGATGATCGTATTCGCCGTGGATTGATGCGCATGTTAGCCGTGGCATATAGTTTTTGCTAAAGTGAGCCATATAACATTTTGTGTAAATTAGTTATAAAATTATGAGTAACTTTGCCTCATAAACGCGACGTGTTAACTTATAATTGGTTAGCTCACATAAGTCCCGTCTGCCCAATAATAGATCCCGTTTAATTAAACCAATTGTCAGTTAGCACATGTAGTTAGTGAGAGATGTTCGTGAGACTAGTATTATTGTAGAATTATATACTAGTCTTTCTTCTAGAAGTTTGTTTGGGTTTTCAACTTTTGACTTGATTCTCACGTGACATTGTAGAAAGGTACGTGCCAAAATTAATTTTAATATAATTCGTTTATATTATATTATTTATTATGTTATTTTGTAATTAAAGTGTTATTATCGTATCAAAACTTATATGGTTTGTGGAATCTTCAATTTATAATAGATTTTGCATTAATGCCCCCCCTCAATTCACAACATTTTAAGTTGGGCTCATTACTTAAGTTGCTAAGAAAATTATATTAAATTTTAGTTTTTCACTTTAGTCATCTTATTTGTTGGATTTGACATTGTGGCACTCCTAAAACTATGAGTAATGTTATATTGTTATATATATAAACTAATTATACAAATTATTCCCTACAAATTGACATAGCAACCCTACATGTTTGACAAACCATCTACTCTAATTTGTTTAAATCATATCTGATTTGAAATCATCCAATGATCACACTAAAACACTTCAACTTAAATCTAAAATCTGAAAACTTTTTCATAAACTCATAGCTTAATTACCTAAAATACCCTAATCATAATAAATTTAAATCATGACATATTTGAATATCATGCTGGTTCGGACGTTTGGGTAGAACTTATCTTGTTCGAATATGTTTGAAACCATTGGTTTCGGACAAAACACTGCTAATACCCTTGACAATGTTGATTTTTCACAAGAACAAATTGAATTTTTACTTTGCAATTGATTTTTTATGTAAATAAGTGGTTTTATTTAGTTGTTTGGGCTAAATTTTAACTAAGAATAATACTACACATACATAATTCCCATACAACATTTCTCATACAACATTATGTGGCAAGATGTGATTGGGTAAAAGTTTAATTTTAACTTTAAATTAGTCAATCATATCTTGCCACATAATGTTATATGGGAAATGTTGTATGAAAATGATGTATGTATGGTATTACTCTTTTAACTAAAGATGTTGTAAATCGAAGAATTTTGATGTTTTTGACAGAGCATGGGTTGTCTATTTGCCGGAATCGATGGTATCAGACATTTTTGCAGTCCAAATAGTACAAATTACCATTTGTAAANAAACTTTTTCATAAACTCATAGCTTAATTACCTAAAATACCCTAATCATAATAAATTTAAATCATAACATATTTGAATATCATGTTGATTCGGACGTTTTGGTAGAACTTATCTTGTTCAAATATGTTTGAAACCATTGGTTTCGGACAAAACACTGCTAATACCCTTGACAATGATGACTTTTCACAAGAACAAATTGAATTTTTACTTTGCAATTGATTTTTTAGGTAGATAAGTGGTTAATTTAGTTGTTTGGGCTAATTTTTAACTAAAGATGTTGCAAATCGAAGAATTTTGATGTTTTTGACAGAGCATGGGTTGTCTATTTGCCGGAATCGATGGTATCAGACATTTTTGCAGTCCAAATAGTACAAATTACCATTTGTGAAAATTAACCCTTATAGGTGTTAGGGCCAAAAATCGTCCTTGTCCCAAATAGGAAAACAGGACCACCAGTGAAGAAAAGACTAGACCCAATCTCAAAGAGGCCTAAGCCAAATTAGTCCCATTTAATACGAGATACGGCCTGTCCAAACCATCTGGGCATGGGCCTCCCAGTTTCAGCTCACTTCATAGGTCTATAGGCGAGTTCAGAGCCCACAGCCCCCACTGATCATATTCCTGTTCCTGATTAGTCTCCTATTCGAAGTCACTTTCCTGTTCCTGATCACTTTCCTACTCGGAGTGGCTTTCCTGTTCAGATCACCTTCCTACTCGGACGCTAGTAAGACAGCTCACCGACGCCCTAACTCTTCTAGGATTTGCATCAGAGTTACATTAGGACTCCTACTCCCACCAGGATTAGGAGACCAGACAGTCACTATATAAACAGAGGCCAACCCTCTCACAAAGGGCACACTACATTACACCTTCACATCCGAAGCTCCTACTTGAGAGCTTTACATCACTGCCGTAGTCACAGTCTCCGACTAGACTTTCGGTAACCTCTCTACTCCCTAGCCCTCACTATATTAGTCTCTTTCAGCCTTGTTGACTTGAGCGTCGGAGTGCCTGCGGCAAACACCACCCCGGTGTTTCCCGTTCGCTTCACGCGTTTGTTTCTCTACGTGTGCAGGTGCAGCGGATTGCTAGTGGTTTCAACCTCACGGGATCAGACCCCCCTTTCATACAGGTAGGTTTTTATGTCTATAGTTTGGCGCCCACCGTGGGGCCTCTAGCAATCATTTGGCTTGACGAACCTTGCTACGTAGAGGAACTTTCCATGGCTGACAACTCCGACAATGCTAATCCCGGCCTCGAGGCCAAACTAGAGGCTCTGACTGCTCTCATGCAATAGAACTCGGACAATGTAACCGCACTGGAAGCTGAGAACAATGCAATCCGAACTGAAAACGCATCCATCAGGTCAGAAAACCAGTCTCTTAAGGAGAAGGTAGTTAATTCTATGATTTAGAGTTCTTGCCTGGCCAAGCACCCCCAAATCGGTTCCGCGCCCCTGTTCCATCCATGCAACCTCTCTATACGCCAGAGCACCGACCCTCGGTCTCCAGCAAAAGATCACGTCTGTTAAACTCATCCGCGGTGGACGATTCTGTCTTGATTCATGGAGATAAAGATATGCTTGTAGAACATCATTCAGCCGATTCATCCCAGCGTCAAGATTAAGATGATCCAGTGGCAGAAAGCCCTCATCCACAAGACCAACCCAATCTAACCATCCCACCTTACCTCCAGTCAACCATCCCAACACATACTCCCCTCGGCTCGGCTCATCGTCACGGGATGAACGGCCAAACTAAACAAACCACAACACTCGAGCCCATCCATCCTGACCAACCGAATGACTATCAGATGACTCCCCTGACCATTCATGTAGGGCGAAACACCAGAACAATTACTATAGGAGTCATCCAATCGGAAGGAATAACGAAGATCTATGCTACCAGGGAACGCACGAAGGAACAACTCGTCAGACTACCCCACGAGGGATGACCCAACGGAATGTACCAAAGACATTTGCAAAGGCTAACTCGGTCATGCGGGATGACATAGTGGCGTCCCCTTCTCTTATGGAACAGGTACTAGCCAAGAGATTGGCCGATGTGGAAGTAGTGATGTGACGCATTCTAGGAATGCCGGTCCCAACCAAGAAGAGCATGCCCCATTGTTACGCGGATTCTCCCTTCGTGGATGAGATCGCCCTAGCCGACATGCCTCAGAAGTTTACAATCTCCAACATGAAACTATACGATGGCACAACCGATCCGGACGATCACATAGCCTCGTACAAGCAGCGGATGATCACCGTCTCAATACCCCGACCGCTTAGGGAAGCCTGCATGTGCAAAAGTTTTGGTTCGAGCTTATCCGGCCCAGCACTCCAATGGTACACGAATCTCCCAAACGGATCCATTGACTCATTCGCTCAACTCACCGACACATTTGTGGAACAGTTCACCAGCAGCAAGAAACTCGAGAAGCTGTCGGCCGACCTATATAGAGTATACCAGAGAAGGGGCGAGCCACTGAGAGAGTATGTTAGCAGGTTTAACAAAAAGAAGATCTCCATCCCTGCATGTAACCTTGAGACAACCGTAGATGCCTTCAGGAAGGGTCTCCTCCCAGACGGAGAGCTATACAAAGAACTTACAAAGCTAGGTTGCACCACATTGGAAGATGCCCTGGCCCGGGTAGTGATCCAAATAAGATGGGAGGAGGATGAGATAAATCGAACGATTCACTCTAGATACGATTCAAGGCGGAATGATAGGAAGCCAGAGCACAGGCTAGCAGAGCAACGCTACCAACCTCCAGCACGTAATTCGAGCAGAGTCAGGAAACCGTGTGATCGCCAGCAGACAAGAACCGAGAGCAGATAGTTCGGATCGAACCGATACAAAATACCGGAATACAGCCTCAATGTCGAGCCAACCCAGGTCATCGAGATTATGAAGGGAATGGAATCCACTGTTAAGTGGCCAGACAAGCTCAATCCTGAGGCAAGGAGAGACAAGACCAAATGGTGCGAGTTCCACGACAATCATAGGCATAACACCACAGACTGTATCGCCTTACGACTAGAGGTCGCTGCACTTCTAAAGAGGGGACACCTTCGGGATCTGCTAACGGATAAGGGGAAGAACGACATTAGCCATAAAAGTTCAAAAGAACCGTCACCCCCTCTACGAGAACCTACACCAAAAGGTTTCTGTTCGCTCATCTCCAGAGGATCAAAGATCAATGGGGTAAGTTACTCATCAGCCAAGCGATATGCCAGAGCCAACCACTACCATGAAGTCCAGTCCATCCATCCGGTCTCACGATCACACACTCATCAGGTAATTCAATTTGAAGATGACAAGCCGGTTACCTTGGCTGCTCCTCATCACGATGCCCTAGTCATCTCCCTACAGGTCGCCAACATCTTGGTGAAAAGAGTATTCGTAGATGGAGGCTCTTTAGCAAACATCCTATTCCTCGAAGCAGTGAAGGCTATGGGACTGGAAAAGGCAAACATCAACAGGTGGCCGACGCTGCTAGTTGGTTTCAGCTCTGAGTAGAAGTATACTATCGAGGAGATCATCCTCCCTATCTACGCCGGCGGAGTGAACAAACAGACCATTTTCCTAGTAATCAACTACCCTTCGCCATACGACATCATCTTGGGCCGACCTTGGATCCACGACATGCGGGCAGTCCCATCTACCTTCCACCAGACGATCAGATTTCCAACCAAGTGGGAGGTACGAGAGATCAAGGGTGACCCCAAAACTTCCAAGGATTGCTACAAGAATGCCTTCAAAGGTAAGGGTAACTCTTCGTAGCAATTACAGATTCATCCAACCCCACCGATCGAGTCGGATCAACCATCTATGGAAGAGTTGGATGAAGTACAGATACATACAGACGACCCTGAGAGAAAGACACACATAGGGTCTCGCCTCAAGCCCGAGACAAGAGAGAAGCTGATAGAATTCCTCAAACAAAACCAAGACTGTTTTGTCTGGTCCCACGCTGATATGACTGGAGTCAGTCCGGAAGCAATGGTCCACCAGCTCAAGGTAGACC